CGACGTAAGTGAATAAAGTTAAAATCTTTCGCAATTGCAGTAAAACGCACGCCAATAAAAAGTCACTTACACGTCTTCGTTCCGAATCTGATGAATGAAAACGGCGAAGCGAATACGTTTTTTTTCGGTCGTGTCGAGTGGGTGCTGCTTTTAAGCTAGTGCTGCGTTCTACAGGACGTTAAGTGAATAAAGTTAAAATCATTCACAATTACAGTAAAACGCACGCCAATAAAAACTCACTTACACGTCGTCGTTTCGAATCTGATGATCGAAAAACGCGAAGTGAAAATGTGTCTCAGTGTCGTAGTTCCGTAGCATCGGGTGGGCGTTGCGTGTATTTAAACTCCCGCGGCATGACGTCTCAATCCGGGTTACGGGTAGTGGAATTTCCGCTTACGTAAGTTCCGGTAACATGTAATATCGTAGTCAAAATGTGAATGCACAGGTTTTTGTTCCGGGTGAAGGAAATTCCTTTTCATAGAATTCCGGGGATGGGAATATTTACTGTATAGGCATACTATGTTGATGAGGGGCGGGCAGTCCTTCCCCTTATGTAAAAATCAGAAACAAAGAAAGGTCAATGCAGTTCGATCTTGGCATTTTGACAAAGTACAGACCACATGTGCTGTGCACAAATTATGAGATTGGAGTTCCTTTCTCAGGGAACTTGACAGCCCTGAGGGGCACAGCAGAGATGGGAGACCAGAAGAAGACACTTGGGGGCTGTTAACCACTCAAGGGGAAATAGGATCTAAACTTCACACTACATTCTTTGTTTTAAGCACTTCAGCAGATGTTCAGGACAGAGACTAGTGTCAATAGTTCTCATAGCAAGGTGAAATTCCTCAACAATGATCTTCTACTACTTCCAGAGGAATAATTCCTTAACAATGAGCAACCAGGCTATCATTTTTACACACAATACAAATATATTATCTGCAGTGGCAGACGGGCAATCCAGGGTGTAATCTCTCTTTTGATTAACAATCGTTGGGATAGGCTCCAGCTCATCCATGAGGATAAGTGGCATTGAAAATGATGGATGGGCAGTTACAGTGCGGAGACTTTGCCGGTGTGTCAAGAGACAATTTAAGCAGGTGCCTTCAAAAATACTGAATTAGTTGCAGATGTTAACCACCAGAGACTTAAATATGTCCACGGAGTCCATTTATTTGCACTTTTTCAATTAAGGTGACTTGTTCAATTATGAACTTAACAGGTGCTAAGCTTGTTGGATTCCGCTTAGTGGCTGGACTATCGGGAAAGTCCTGGACGACTGTACGTTCAAAGAACTCCCCCCTATCCCTCACCCGCTCTAACGGAGGGGACCGGAATTTTCCTAAAGTAATGTTAGAGGGACTCATCTAAATTCTCATGACCTTGGTTTTAAGAAGTGAGTTATGTTTTGAGACCTTTCATTCACCTTTATTGAGTAACCTTCATAGAAATAAGGCGAACGTAGGGCCACTTCTTTTTGACGGTAGTCCACTATGTAGATCTGGTGCAGTTGTTAGACTTAGATGGGTTTTAGCTGCCTTTGGTAAGACTGCAAGGACTACTTTATAATTTGATACAAAATCCGAGTTACTACTTGGATTCCTGAATAGCAACAAGCAATTTCATTTAAGAGTGGGTGAGTGTACAATAAAATAATAAGGTTGACAAGAGTACATGTAGTTTATAATTTTCAAAGATGTATTAGCGAAGCCCTTCCCAGATGTCCGAGCTTCTCATCTTATCTCAAAGGGAGAGCAGAGAAAACTCATGTCGGCCGCATGTATCCTGGATCTGGTTCTTTTAGTCATGACCCACCGCTCGTGACCATAGGTGAGGGTTGGAAAATTGATCGACTGGTAAATTTAGAGAAGCCAACAGCACCACATCATCTGCAAAAAGCAGCGATGCAATACTGAGGCCACCAAACCGGACCACCTCAACGCCTCGGCTGCACCTAGAAATTCTGTTCATAAAGGTTATGAAGAGATACGGAGTGCAACCCTCCCTGGAAACGATTCCGACTTACTGCCAGCGATGCAAACCAAACTCTGACATCGTTGGTATAGGGACCGAACAGCCCGTATCAGGGTATTCGGCACCCCATACTCCCGAAGCACCCCCCACAGAAATCCCCAAGGGACACCATCGAACACCTTCTCCATGTCAAAAAAGCACATGTAGACTGGTTGGGCGAGCTCCTATATACCCTCGAGGATCCTGCTAAGGGTGGAGAGTTATTCCACTGTTCCACGGCCGGGACGAAAACCACACTGCTCCTACTGAATCTGAAGCTCAGCTTCCCGAGGAACCCACTTCTCCAGCACCCCTGAAGAGACCTTACCAGGGAGGGTCAGGAGTGTACCCCTCGGACCCTGTCTTAAAAAGAGGGACCACCACCTGCCAATCCAGAGGCACTCTTCCTGATGACCACGTGACGTTGCAGAGGTGTGTCAACCAGGACAGCCCCACAACATCCGCACGGCTCTTATCCACCCATGGGGCTCTGCCACGTCGGTGAATTCAACCCCAGAGATAGGAGAGCCCACCTCAGAGTCCTCGGACTCTGCTTCCTCCAAGGAAGGCATGTTGGTGGAGTTGAGGAGGCCTTCAAAGTATTCTACCCACCGACTCACAATGTCCCGAGTCGAGGTCAGCAGCACCCAATCCCCACTGTATACAGTGTTACTGGCGCACTGCTTGCCCCTCCGAAGACGTCGGATGGTGGACCAGAATTTCCTTGAAGCCATCTGGAAGTTGGCTCCATGGCCTCACCGAACTCTTCCCACGCCCGAGTTTTTGCCCCGGCGACCGCTGAAGCTGCATTACGCTTAGCCAGCCGATACCCATCAGATGCCTCTAGAGTTCCACAGGCAATAAAGGCCCAATGGGACTCCTTCTTCAGCTTGACAGCATCCCTTACTGCCAGTGTCCACCAGCGAGTTTGGGGGTTGCCGCCATGATGGCCATAACTCTTGATTGGCCGCCTCAACAATAGAGGCGCAGAACATGGTCCACACGGACTCAATGCCAGACGCTCCCAAAAAAACCCTCACATGCCTGCCATGGTTAATCGGATATCAAAATTTAAATCGATTCCAAATTCAAATCGGAGGAACTATCTAATACTGTACTGGGAGTTATCCCATTAACTTATGACTTTATTTCGCAATAAGTCCATCACATCATCATGACCTCATCTGACATGGCGCTTCTGTTACATCTTTTATGCATCTTTTATGAGCCTCCCTAAAAAAAAAATCCTCTTTTATTGCAATTTTTAGAAAAACAGCTTGCAAAATCAGACATTTAGCTCGCAAGAATAATTAAAAATGCCCCTGAAATGCTGGAGGGACTGAAAGTGGGCGTCTGTCCATCCTGTTCCATCCCAGGGAATGAATGCCCATCTCTGGCAAGAGACGCCATGTCACAGCTCCATTCTCAGCAGCTAAGGAGCAGCAAGTATTTCTGCATGCGTTAGCTGCTATGGTGTCTTAGACAGAAAGGTTCCGCAAGCTATTATAAGCTTACTTTAAGAAAACCAGTGTAACCAAAACGCATTTGGACACCATACATAGTTTTCCTTCTGACCACCACAGGTCCACTTTATTGACGCACATCAGTGAAGTGAATTAATTCATGACCATTCTCAAGTACTTTTATTCTTCATTTTTTACGATGAGCTTGTATCACTTTCTCAAAACAAAAATGCTGATTGGACAAACAGGAGATTGCTCGTCTTCAAGTACCTGGATGTTCGTCACACAAACTGTTTTTTAAAACTTTAACTTTTACTCGTGAAACTGAATGTGAAAAGTCAAGCAAACTGATTCTGTGTGTGAAAAGATTTATATTTGTATCCGTAAAACTGAATGTCACAAAATATCCAGAATTGAAATCTCAGTTAGGTGTTCAAATTCAAACGACAATACATATTAATTTTTTAAATGATTTAAATTAAACTATGCAATTGATGTAATTGAAATTCACCTTTTCAATCCACTTATTCAAGGTTAGCGCTTCAAATTGATATACAAATTATCCAGATTCAGTTTTTGGTGGCACATATTTCAGTCCATAGATGGAGTGGCTCCTTCAATAATGACTAGGCAACAGGAGGCACAAACACACATCACATTCTACATTCATTCCTTAATTTCACCACAGTTTAGTCGACAAACAGAACACCACACCATTCTCATTTCCTTCACAGGTTTCATGCGACCGAGGGTGCGCACTCAGTTTTTCAACTGTAGTTTGAAGTATACATTGACACGAATACCCACACTCACCACTAACGAGATGCTGAAGGCCACCGCTCCATCGAGAAAGTCGTAACATGGGCATAGTCTACAAGCCCCTTATAAATGAGGCGCTTTTGTGTGTTTCAGAGGTCAGGTCACTGGAAATGTATTTGGTTTACAAATGGGCACATTTTCCATGACAGTGATCCCTCGCTCTATCACGGTTCATTTAGCACGGTTTCAGTGCATCACGTTTTTTTTCCCCAAAGTACTGTATTCGGAAAAAATTGCCTTTGACTCAAAGGTTTTGTGCATGGCTGTAACTTGATTGGTTCCCAATGCCGACGTCCATCAATGACAGCACGAGTAGGGATTGGGTGGGGCGCTGAGAAGATGCACAGTCAATCAACATGGCTTTGCATCTTCTCAGCCCCGCCCAGCACCCCTCCCTTCTGTCTTATCACGGGGGTTACCCTTTGATCAGTGTCTAAATAGTGTTGTTTACGATGCGTGCTAGTGTGTGTGCCTGCGCGCATTTTGTGTGTGTGTGTGTGTGTGCGTGTGTGTGTGTGTGTGTGTGTGTGTGTGTGTGTGTGTGTGTGTTTGCGTGCGCCCCGCGCACA